GGCCCCACGTTGGGAAACACTGATTTAAAGAAATGTATCCCTTTCTAGAAAACCGCAATTTCAATCACACAATATTCAGAATATTTCCACTGAATACTTTCTTTTATAATACAAAGACATTTCGTTTTGATTTTTTGCGCACTCAGAATTTTTATCATATTTTAGTGTGGGATAAAGTAAAGTAAGATCGATCGATAAATAAACTTTTCTCAAGTCACATTCTTTACTTTTAAGCAGTTTCCGTGTTCTTAAGATCGATGAAACTTTCTCGAATTTTGAAACTCGAACACATCGTGAAGTGCTTTAATAAAAAAGAAACCTTTCGCGCATTTTACTGGATTCTACAATAAAAAGCTTTCAAATAGAAAAGAAGAAAGAAAATGTTTGAAGTATTTGTGGCTTATTTCATATTTTTGGCGAACTGAATAATGATAAGAAAACTCTTTACAAAGTCAAACAATTCATTGAACAAATATTTTTGTATTTATGAATACTCTATTTTTCTGTCCGTATTCATAAATCGAATTATTTCCAGTGTATGTGTCGATTTTGAAGGTTGAGGAATTGACTTACGGTCTGAAGATACATTTAGATCCAAATATAATGTAACTAAACATAAAAAAATGAACCTAATCTATAAAATAAATAAAAATATGATGAAAAAGAAATAGTGCTATTACAGGGCATGGATGAAAACGAGACGGAAAAGAGAAAAAACTGGTAGTAAAAACATTTCTGTTTTTACTAGTTTTCGGGAAGAGTTAATTAATTCTTTTTTTTGTAAACTGTTCAACAATATCTAGAAAAAAAATAATTGCATATATATGTTATAATTGTAAAGTATCATTGCATACCTGCCAACATTCACTCTTTTAGAGAATGGATTTTCCAAGTGGTAGTAAAATAATTACCTAAAAACTAGATCCCTCAAAATTATATTCTTATTTTAATCCGGTGTAAATTCTCTATTGTAAGAACTAATATGCTTTTATATATTTGTTGTAATTATTCACATGTAGTGGTGGTCAAACTGATTTAAAATTATTATTATAATTCAAAAAGTTTAGTGAAATAACATGAATTTCGTTTGCACTTTAAACAGAGATGCCAACTGCTCCGGACTCGCCAAAATAATTAAAAATACGGTAAATAATTACAAAGTAATTTTAGCAAATATTTGACTTTTTTTTGCTTTTTTTTTTAAAGGTATTGCGTGACTATAAAACTATAACGTGGTGAACAATATATGCCAACGAATTATTTAGAAATGGTGGTGGATAAAAATCTACCAAATTGATTTTATTAAACCAAGAATCACAATTGATAAACTACCACTTTAAAATATATATTTGCTGGCCGGAGCAAGTTGGCATCTCTGCTTTAAATATGAAAACAAAATCTTCCGGGAAAACCGGAAGAGTTGGCAGCTATGTAATTGCATTTACTATTACTACTAAGCTTGTTCAAGGACAGCGGAAACCCTGAATGTTTATAATTTTATGTGTACACTAATTAATCTAACAGTTAATCAGTAATAACTAATTAATCTAACAGGAGTTCGTTAATCTAACACTTAATATTGAAAAAGATCTATTTTTTTACCACGACAAATAAGTAATTAAAATATTATTATATAGGAAAGATAAAGTCGCAAAGTGCAACCTTTTTTTAAAAAATATATTTTGCCACTTTAAATATTATTTAACAGCGCGTTAATCAAACTTTTCCCAGCGACTATAAAAGCTTGAAAATTTGTCTCAAAAATAAAAATATATTACTCTCTTTCTAAAGTAACTTAATTAGGATGTCTTAAATTCTTCGCGAATGGGAGTTCGTTAAACTAAGCCATCTGCTTTCTTCTGAAGTTGTAAAATTTAGCCAATTAGTAATTTGAAATATGATAGCAAGCGCTTTCCTCAAAATTCTCTCTCGGTAATTTTTATGGCAATGTAATTCTATTTTAATTGCATTAAATATGTCAGGTTTTAAAAATATCTCATTCAAATAAAGCTACACCTATATTAGTTCCTTTTTTTCTTAATGCATATTTTATCCAATACATAACTATAATTACATTCAAAAGTTCTTTTTATGTATTAAAAATTATAATCTCAGAATTTCCAGTTTTTTTTAAAATCATTTTAACTGATAATGGAAGTTAGTATGCTTGCAGATATCAAGTATAATGTACGGTGCGTGAAGAAATGAATCTGGGCGAAATCGATCGAATAATTCCTAAGAAATCAAATTTTAAAAAAGTCATATAAATTTTATATATCAGGAACAATTCTGCCCATTTTCCTCAAATGTTGCATTTTGTCCTGTAACATTACATTCCTTAAAATGATGCAAAAATTGTATGCTTTGCAGTGCAAACTTTTTTCGACTACTGCTAAATAAAATAAAAATTAGCTACTAAAAGTTATTTTTTGCAAGAAATTATCTTTGTCTAAACAAATTTTATAATTATGCTCCAAGATTTTTCAATTCACCTTTTTGATTATTATCAATCACCACTTTTTATATTTTTAGTCTCCTGTGTAATTTATCTACTTCACTGAGTTTTACGTTATAATGGATAAATATGGCATATTTTATGGATGAACAAGTAAAGGCCATACTTGACTCTCACCTTCAACATCAGAAAGTTTCCACACGGATTTTTATAAGTAGTCTGCGCAGACTATTTAAAAAATGAACCAGTGCTGCGCATGAACCCAAAATCTACTTTAAAAGTAATTGAGAGAAATTTGTTATATATATTTGAGAATTGAATTTGAAGTTTTTTACAGGTCATTAAAACAAACCAATCATGTTCATAAATTAAGCAAACTTATAGATATATATCCGCTACGACTTTCTTATTTTTACAGGATTTTGTATTTCATGGCTCTTTCTTAAACTGGTTTACCTTCATAGTAATCTGATCAGATTACCTATGAGAAACCGTGTAGAGACTTGACCCAGGCACCTAAGTGGAACAGTTATGAGTTAATAAGATAAATTTTCTTTAACATGCCACGCTAATTTTACAGGGTTTGCCCGTCTGGCCACAACAATAAATAACTACAAACTAAATTTGCAAATATTAGACAGATTTTGTTAGTTTATTTAAAAGGTTTATCACGATTTTTCAAAAAAAAGTATCGAATTATATAAATCTACAAATTACTTAGAAAAAGTGGTGGATAAAAATCTACTAAATTGAATTTATAACACCAAGAATCACAATTAATAAACTACCACTTGAAAATATTTATTCGCTGTCCGGAACAAGTTGCATACCTGCCAACTTTTTCGCATTTGGCGTAAAATTTTATTTTGATATTTTAAGTGGTAGTAAATATATACTATATTTTTCTTCTTTAAACTTAATTTTTAAACGATTTTGACCACCACTATTCTTAAAAAAATTAAGCATATATAAAAAATATGCATTACTATCATGGCTGTCAGCTTTTTTTGTTTGCAATTGAAATTTTTTTTCTATTTTACTACCACTGGGAAAAATTCTAATGGAAGGGATTAAAAGTTGGCAGGTATGAAGTTGGCATCTCTGTGTATATAAATAAAACTATTTTTGTGTGTTTTATATTGCATTAATTTCTTCAAACCAATTTAGTAACGATAATAATATTAAAAAAATTAAAAATTTACTCGAATTATGTGTTTCTAATAATCTTGGCTGCGCCGGACATCGGTGACCCCCATGGCTTTTAACCTGTTAATAAAAACTTTATGTTTCTTAACGTAGGCCTGAAGTAAATATGGTTTGAGGCAAAAATAAATTAAATAAAAGTAAGCATTCTAAACTGTAGATTTCAGCCTAATATTTTTGGTATCTGTGTCAAAGAAAAAAGAAACTTTTCCGCCTGTCCCAAATACTTTGTACTGCGTGGGTGTAACTTTTTTTGTCGCAATATTTGTTCTTCCTAATCGATCTGATTGGGTGGCAGGTGTCACAAACACGCAAAATGTGTCACAAAAGCGAAGAGGAGAAAAAAGGTGACATTCTTTACAGCAGGGTGTTACGATGTGTCATGTAATATTTAACAAAATAAACATTGAGAAACATCTCAGTGAATGGAGAAAAAAAGTAATGTTTGATATTATTGTGCATATAATAACCATCGTACCGAGAAAGGAACTGATTTATTAAAGCAAGTTGATGTATTTAAAAATCAAAGAAAAGAAATATACTGAAGGGAAAAAAACATTGATGTAATTGAAGTTTAATATTTTACGTATCACATTTCAGAGATTAATAACTGGTAATTTTATAATAAAAAAAACTAATCTGATTCACATTTTATAACAACATTTTATTTATATAATTTTATGATATAAAAAAATTATATAATTATACAATTTCATAAGATGAAAGTTTGAAATATTAATATGCTTCTATTTGATATGAATAGCTATCAATTTTTTCGTTCCAGGCAAAAATTTCTTTAATCTAGTAGATGTTTACTTGAAATTTTATTTTCCGAACTATCAAAATTATTATTATTATATATATTATATTACATATATATATAGGCTATTGCGGT